GCCGGGTCGTCGGCCGCAGCGCCACACCTACTGCATCACCACCACCACCACGCGCCCCTTGCCCACTTCCCCGGTGACCTGGTGCCGGCCAGCCTGCCCTGCGAGGAGCTGGCGGAGCCGGGCCTCGTGCCTGCTGCTGCTGCGCGCTACGCCCTGCGCGAAATCGAGATCCCGCTGGGGGAGCTGTTCGCTCGCAAGTCCGTGGCATCCTCGGCGTGCTCCACGCCACCACCTGGGCCTGGCCCTGGCCCTTGCTCCGGACCCGCCTCGGCCTCTCCTGCATCCCCCTCGCCCGCAGATGTGGCGTACGAGGAGGGCCTTGCACGCCTCAAGATTCGCGCGCTGGAGAAGCTGGAGGTGGACCGGCGCCTGGAGCGGCTGAGTGAGGAGGTGGAGCAAAAGATCGCGGGTCAGGTGGGCCGGCTGCAGGCGGAGCTGGAGCGTAAGGCTGCGGAGCTGGAGACTGCGCGGCAGGAGAGCGCGAGGCTAGGGCGCGAGAAGGAGGAGCTGGAGGAGCGAGCCTCCGAGCTTTCGCGTCAGGTGGACGTGAGCGTGGAGCTGCTGGCCTCCCTCAAGCAGGACCTGGTGCACAAGGAACAGGAGCTGAGCCGCAAACAGCAGTGAGTAGGCTTCAGGTCCCGGTGGGTGGGCCAGAGTCTCCACTGCCACCACTGAAATTGTGCCCGAGTGTGTCTGTGGCCATGACTTTGTAGCACGGGATCTATGGCCACATGTGCGGAATGCTTGTGTATGGGAGGCCAGGCGTGTCATGATGGTGTGTGCTTGGGGCTGAGAGTACATGGCAGTAAAACCGTGCTCCCGTCTGTGAGGACTGTATTTGTTTCTCTTCCTAGTTCGTCTGAGCCATTACCAAGCCCTGTATCTTGACTCCAGATCTTCTTCCCTTTTGCCCAGAGACACAACACAGCTCTCCCACCCCCACTCCTATCATCAGATTTCCCCTATCTACAGATATTTCCTCACAGACATAAAGTAATTTCTCCCACCTGTCCTAACTCTACATCCCATTAAGCTATTGCCCCCTTTCCTTCTTCCATTTCCACAGAAAAACTCCTTAGAAATATTGTGTGTGTGTGTGTGTGTGTGTGTGTGTGTATTTAATATATATATAAAAAAATTATGGGACCAGCAGGTGGTATGGTGGTTAAGACACTGGACACTCCCACATGGCTGACCATGGTTCAAGTCTTTGACCTGGGGGCTTACTTTCTCACTTCCTCTCTCTCTCTCCCTCTTTCTCCCTCTCTCTCTCTCTCTGTATGTGTGTATGTGTCTCTCTCTCTGGTGAAATTAAAAAAATGAATAAATAAAATTTAAAAAAAAGAAATACTGTATTTAACTTCACTTATTTATTTTAATTGGACCAGAGAGAGATGGGGTGGGGGATATAAAGTATTTATATTCTTTACCTCCAGTTTCTTCCTTCCCTTTCTCTCTTGACCTCACTCTGATTAGGTCTCCCCCTCCACCACTGTCCACATGCCACCAATGACTACCATGTTGCTAAGGCCTCGTTATCATCTTACTTGGCCCATCAGAATTTTATACAGTAGGTCCTTGAAAGACTTTCTTCTCTTGTTTTCTAAGACACTCTCCTGGGATTTTCTTCTAGTTCTGCCCCTTCTCAATCTTCTTTGATGGCTTCTCCTCATTTTTCTGGTTTTAAATGGAGGATTATGAAGTACAGAGATGTTAGTTAGGGCTGGCCCATGTCCTGGTGGTTAAGGAACCCTGAGGTTCAAATCCTGGTCCTGGCAGCTTGCAAAACATAGTGGGCAAGTGTGCACGCCCCATATCTTGACAGAATGGAAACATGGAAGAAAAGAGACTGCAGTTGTGACCATGACTCATTTGGGGGTTGCTTTGTCCCTTTCCCCTTTTCTTTACTGAGCTCACATGCCCTCTGGCCAAAAAAAAGAGAGAGAGGAAAATTAACTGATCAATCCCCATTGCAATATAAGCTTCATGAAGGCAGGGGTTTTTCTGTTTTGTTTGTTGCTGTATCCCCAATAATAAAAATGGTGTGTGGCACCTACAAGGTTATCAATACATGGTGAATGGACAAGTGGGAGTAAATGCTCAGTAACTCTTTAAGTGTGTTGTGTGTTTCTGCAGCTCCTGGATGTTGTACAAACCTCTCTTGAAGTGTCTTTCTGCGTTTGAATATACTTATCTACATATTGAAAAGACGATGTGTGTATTTTTTTTTTACAAATATTTATTGCTTATTTTCATTTATTATTTTTGGAGAGATTTTTGCTATAGGGTGCATGGAGACAGAGACAGAAAGTGAGGAATCACCCCCTAGGGTGATGCCATGCTGCAATCCCTTCTCCTCCATTCTCCTCTCAGGATTGTGGGTGTACACACATGTACCTCATGTGAGTCTCAAGCTGCCAGGTCCAGGACTCAAACCATAGTCGACTATCTGGAAGTCTAACAATATAACCATTACACCATCTGTTGCTCCCCTATTATTATTTTTTAAATTTGACCAGAGAGACACAGACAGGGAAAATGAGAAAGCAAGCCTCCAGGTCCGGAACTCGAACCACAGTCAGCCATGTGGGAGTCCAGTTCCTTAACTACTATGCCATCTGCTAGCTCCCTATATGTGTATTTTTGAATGTTTCTGAAAGTATGTGTGTGTTTGAATGTGTTACTTTTCCCAAAAAAATTGAAGTTTCTTTCCTTAGAGAATGTGCACATAGGAGAGAAAGACAGACACCCTGGGCAGGTGCCATGCCGAGATCTCCTTACTCTAGACTTCCGATTAGTTAGCATCATGAGGGCCCACACCTGGCATGTTTCAGGTTGAACTGAGATCCCACCATGTGGATGGCCATGTGGCTTCCAGCATAGAAGATCAGAACGCTATGGCTTGTGCCACTGAGGCTGGCCCTATATGTGTTACTTCTTTGTGTCTCATACATCTTTGGCCCACATGTGTGTGAGTATGTGCTGGAGAATGAACATGCTATGAAAACATGTCCGTGCATGTGTGGGTCTGTGCATGGGGGCTACATCTTGGGTAGCATGTGGGCATACGTGCTTGGCTGTGTGGCTCTCTGGGTGTGCCCAGGAGTGTTTCTGTGTTGGGAGGATGTTTTGAGGCCACCTATAACTGCGTACGTGTGTGTTTCTGTGTGAGGTGGCTGTGTCCGGTAATGCAGTGTAGACATGGGGATCTCTGTGTGTGACTGTGACTGTGTGACTGTGTCTCTGATTTCCATGGAGGGCAGGAGTGTTGTGAGTTTGGGGCTGGGTCAGTGGCGTGTCAATGTGTGACTCGGAGCGTATGCCTGCATTCTTCATGTGCTGTGGTGTGGGGTCATGAGCTGGGCCTATTCTCCGTGACCCCATGGATCGTGAGCAGACCCTGTAGGCAGCTGTGCCCCATTGTCACCCGCATTGGTCAGGCTTTTCTCCAAAGGGTGAGTGGGTGGGGAGCCAGGCTGAGGCTCTGGGGTAAGAGACCACTTCCGGCCCAGGGAGGTGGTGCAGATCGATCAGTTCCTGAAGGAGACAGCGGCGAGGGAGGCCAGCGCCAAGCTGCGGCTGCAGCAGTTCATCGAGGAGCTCCTGGAGCGGGCCGACCGCGCCGGACGGCAGGCTCGAGGGCGCCCGCAGC